CCCCCACAACATGTCTCTGGTATATGGTTGTTCATTATAATAAATAAACCTTTTGTAAAAAATCGTATTTGTTTGGCTTTGACTGTTGGGAGTAGAAGGCTCACAGGGGTTTAGGGCTGCAGTGGCCGGTGGACGTTGCCCCCAGAAGCCACCTCCTGTGGGGCCCCTCGCCGAGGCCTGGACACCACAGCAGAGTGGCCCCGGCAGCTCCTGGCGGCCACTCAGCGGAGCCGGGACCATGAGGCCCCGTGGCTGGTGCAGCCCAAGGCTGGGCGGGGGTGACAGCAGCTGCCCCTCCCCCTCCCCCCCAGGACCCGGATCCCGCTGTTGCTGCTGCAGAGGCTCAAGTGCGCGTCCCACGGAGCCCCCCGCCGGCATTTCTTCTGAACTCGGAAGCAGGGTAACGGGTCAGCGCCGTTGTGCGTGATGGCTGCGCGTGACTGGCAGGACACTACTGGGAGAGCCCGCCTGTGTCCAGCTCGGCCGGGAGACGCCAACTTGCGAGCCGACGGGAGCTGACCCAGCTCCACGCAGCCGCGCCTGGGTCGGGAGGCGGCCGGTGCTGGCCAGGCCGCGCCTGCTCCCCTGCCGCCCGCTGCCCAGCGGCACCGGCTTCTGGAGACCAGGCCCTGGCCAGCCTGGCCAGCTTCTCTCCATCGCTGGCCGCTGCGGCGGGGCAGGAGAGACTGAGGCGGGAGCGGCCGCAAGGAGAGCGCTGGGCGCTGCCCCGTGGCCCTCAACGCCCCCTCCCGGCCGGCGGAGAATGGTGCCCAGAGCCCGGAGACCTCCCTAGAGTGGGTGCATCTCGTGCCCCCCACTGCAGGGCAGCACGTTTCCAGCGGACAGCGCCAAGGGAAACTGACAGCGCCCCTGTGCCCCTGGCTAACAAAGCAGCGAGTCCGGTCTCCAGTGACCTCTGGGGCGACGGACCGCGCGGTCACACTGGGGGAGCCCCGCGAAGGGGCGTCTGGGGACAAAGTGGGGGTGGGAATCAGCCTGAGGTTCGGACCGAGGCTTGAGCTCCGCCCAAAGGGGGAGTCTGTGTCTTGGGGAGCTGCTTGGCGGCCCGGGGCTGGTGGGAGCCATAATTTTGAGCCCTGACGGTCAGGAAACGGTGAGCATTTTCCCCGGGGCATCTGATCTCAACCGCAGGGCGGAGACCAGGCAGGAAAGGCCTCGAGGTCTGTTTGGGCGGCAGCGCCGCCTGGTGGCCATCGGGGGTCCCACATGATCTCCGAGAACAGGGGAGCCTGAGGCCCAACCTGGGCTTAGGTGCTGGAAGAGATGGGGTCTCAGGCCCCAAAAGATGGGTCACCGGGCCTCAAAGGGCCTGATGCTCTTGTCTCCAGCCCCGAGGCTCACTGGACATGTACACCCCCCAGTCTGGAAACAGCATCCGTTTTCCTTTGGGGAGTCCCCCACACCCGTCATATCATTCTTGAGAGTCAGACCACCCCTCTCAATGCCTCAGGTACACGGTGACCTCAGATCTATCCAATGAGAGTCAGGCCTGCAACATTTTTACTGGAGCAATTGGGACAGAGGCCTGCCCTTTCCAGTCAGACTAGAGGTGGTTTTTTTGGGGGTGGGGGGTGGGGGAAGGTGACAGACATCTCTGTCTCTCTATAGAGGAGCTGCTTGGAAATGAAGTCGACATGGAGAAAAACAGGTTCAAGAGAGAAAAGGAGGCACAGTCCTGATGAAAAATAGTTGAGTAGCTGGATCCAGCAGGACCTGAAGCCCTGTTCCAGCACTATGCATGGCCCATGGCTCCAATTACATGAGCCAATTAAAGTCTCCTCTCTCAAGCCAGTGGGAAGTGGTGGATCACACTACCAGCCTGACGTGTGGCACCCCTAATCCTGCTCTTCCCTCCCTAGCCAAACTGGCTTCTCTGCTGCTTACATTTGCAAACGCAAAGGCCACATTAATCAAAACCACCTTTATTATTTAAAGAGCATCCTGTCATCAGGGCCTCCTAGGGGGAGTTCCCAGCTGGCAGAACAATATTTACATGGGTGTCAGGAAGGTGAGGCCTGCATGGTCCCTGGGATGAGTGGCCCCGCCACTGTGGAAGAGAGGACCCTGGAGGGAGGGTGTCTTTGGGCCTAAGGGCTGGACCCAAGAAAAAAAATGTTCCATCCCAGGCCCAGGGTGGGGCCCACCTGTGGGGCTGGCACCACCAGATCAACTCAGGCCCCGAAGGCGTGTGGACAGGAGAAGTCACGGGTCAGAGCTGGGTCACCATGCCACTGGCTTCGGAGTGAGTCTGGGGAAAGACAACTGGGGTCTTCTGAGGGCTGAGAGGCTTCCCCCAAAGTCCCACACTAATCTCCCAGAAGCCCCCTGAGACCCAGCTAGAAGAGGGCACCCTCTTCTCGCCTAGGGTGTCTTTTCCAGAAAAAACAAACCCCGCCTCTTTCCCCCGGCCGAGACCCCAGCACGGCCCTGGGACTCCCACATGGGCTAACTTTCACCTTTATAGCCTGGAAGATCCACTCCCGGAAGGCACTGACTTTGGTGTAGACGCCTGGCTTCTGGGCCAGGGCACAGCCGGTCCCCCAGCTCACGATGCCACACAGCCGCCAGCGTGGCGTCCGCGAGATGCTGTCCTCACACACGAAGGGGCCTCCGCTGTCACCCTGGGGGAGAGGAGAAGGCTGGCTGGGGCCCGGGGGCTGGCCCGGAGGCCTCGCGGAGGGCCACGGGCTGTGTTGAAGAGCCTCGACGTCTGCCTGGGTCTCCATCCTGGCGGGCAGGGCCCGGGGCTGCCCCCGCCCTCACCTGGCAGGCATCGATGCCCCCTTCGGGGTAGCCGGCACAGAACATCTTGGGCTTGATCTGGTTCCCATAGAAGTCGGGGCCGTTGCAGACGTCATTGCTGATGATGGGCACTCGCGCCTCCTGGAGCACCCCAGCCTGTTGGCCTGGGGGTGTGTGGGCAAGGCTGGCCGAAGCTGGGGAGCATGCAGACCCCCTCCCCCGGTGCCCACCCAGGCTCTGCGGGGCCCCCACGGCCCAGGGCATCCCTCAGCCAGCCCCTGCGCCTGCCCGGCTGCTCAGCCTCCTTCCCGTCAACTCACCATAGTACTGCGTGTTGCCCCAGCCTGTCACGGTGCAGAGCTTGCCCTCCACCAGGGCTTGGTTGGCGGCCGGGAGGCACACGGGCTGGATGTATTCTGTGGGGAGGCCACGCCGGTCCAGCCTCTGCCGGCTGCCCCCGGACAGGCCCTGCCCAACCGGCCCTGCACACCCTCTGCCACCCTCTGCCCTCTGCCAGAGGAGCTGCTGCCCAGACAGCGCTCACCACCCCCTGTACTTCCCTGCCATCTCCTCCAGCCCGGGGCGGGGCTGCCCTTCCGCGTCTGAGCGGGACACAAGACAGGTCCCACGGCCAGAGCCTCCCAACGGGCCACAGCAGAACCAGAAATGCAACCATGTTTGCCACTTGCCCGGCCAGAGGGTGCCCTTGTGGGACACCAAGAAAAGGGACATTTATCTGGAGACACTGATGTCTACCGGGCAGAAAAGCAGAACAGGGCCCTCCCTGGTGTGCAACGGGTTAAGTCTCAGCACAGTGAAGCTGTCTGCAGCCACCGCAGCGCGAGTTCGATCCCCGGCCAGGGAGCTGACCCACGGGGCCCAGCAGACCCCTCCTGTCTCCCTGCTGCCCCCCTCAGCAGTGGATTCCACTCTGTCTCTGGTGAATCCTCTCACCCTCACACCTCTGGCCTGAACCGCATTTCTTGTATGCATAAATAAATAAATCTTTAAAAATAAAAGCAGACTGAGGTTCCCTGAGGTGGCCCTGAGAGGTGACAGGTCACCGCGTGGCTGGGGCTCCGCTCATTGGCAGCACCGCTTGCCAGAGCCTTGAGGTGTCAGGTGCAAAATGGGAAGAAGAGGCCTGCCCAGGGCTGGCATGGGATGGTGGGAAATGCCAAGGCTCCTGCTGGCTGTGGGCCGCCCTCACCAGGCCCTGCCTCTGCCTGAGCGATCCCATCAGGTGAACCCTTCACACAGGCAGGAACCCTAGAAGTCACTTCACAGGTGAGGGAAACCGAGACACAGAGCCGGGAAGACACGCACCTGCAGACCTGGCCAGGACGCCACAGCACAGGCTGTCAGCCTCGGGTGAGGCTGTGTCTCAGACGAGCCTCTCCCAGCCCAGGCACCTGAGCCCTGGGTGTGTCCTTACTTGACTGTGTTACTCCCCTTCACTCTGGCATTACAGAGAAGGGTTTGTTTTTGTGTTTTTAATTCTTCCGTTAAATGGAAAAGCCATATCGCCAATCACTCAAAAGAAATTAATTAGCTAGGGCCTCCCTGGTGGCGCAATGGGTTAAAGTGCAGCACTGTGAAGCTATTGGCAGCACCAGGTTGATCCCTGGCCAGGGAGTGACCCACGTGGCGCAGCAGACCTCGCCTGTCTCCCCACTGCTGCCCTCAGCAGTGGATTTCAATAGATCTGCCTGTTCTGCTCCCCACTCTTGTCTCTGCTGAGTGCTCTCACCCCTGCACTTCTGGCCTGTACCCCAGTTCTGTATAAATAAATAAATCTTTAAAATAATGTAAATACTTCTACTATGTGGCCCAGAATTACATGCCTTGGTTTTTACCCAAAGGCAATGCAAACTGATATCCACACAAATTGCACTGTTTGTTTACAGCAGCATTATTCATTATTGCTTAAATTTGAAAGCAGCTCACCCTGGCCTTCAATAGGGAGTAGATAAGTAAGCTGTATAAGGTCACATGGTGGCGTAACATTCAGCACTAAAAGAAATGAGCTACAAGACAAGACATGGACAGACACAATGTAAAGAGTTGGTACTAGGCCCTCTCCGGTGGCGCAGCGGGTTAAAGCACAGCACTAAGAAGCTAAAGCCACTTCATTGTGACTTTGATCCCCACCCCGGAGATGACCCACATAGCATGGCAGACCTCTCCTGACCCTCCCGCTGCTCCCCTCAGCAGTGTACTTCAGTCAATCTGCCTATTCTGCTCCCCACTCTGTCTCTGGTGAGTGCTCTCACCCCTGCACCCCAGTTCTGTGTGCATAAATAACTTTAAAAAAAATAGAAAAGAAAGAAGATAACCATCAAAATCAGCACAAGCCACAAAGCACAGACTCGGGGTGACCAACACCAGCCTGGCTCGGGTCTTTGCCACCAGCCAGATGCAGGAACTTGGGGCCCGTTTCCCTTCTCTCACTATGACCTTTCCCCATGTGGGAAAATAGGAGCCTAGGAGACGCCCACTCTGGGCTGCCTCGAGAACCAAATGGCTTTCTGTCCAGTGCCTGCCGGAGGCCGGACATCACCATGGTGCCATCACCATCATGCTTTTCAGGTCCTCCCTGGTGGCGCAACGGGTTAAAATTCGCACTATGAAGCTTTCGCAGCCACTGCGGCACGAGTTCGATCCTGGCCAGGGAGCTGACCCACATGGCGCGGCAGACCGCTCCCGACCCGCCCGCTGCTCCCCTCAGCAGTGTATTTCAGTCCACCTGCCTGTTCTGCTCCCTACTCTGTCTCTGGTGAATCCTCTCACCAACCACACCTCTGGGCTGTACCCCAGTTTTGTATGCATCAATAAATAAATCTTTAAAAAAAAAAAGCCTTTTCATTTCAGAACCTCTCATGCCCCCTATAAGTAACCCTGGACTTCTGTCCTCTCCAAACTCCCCATCCCAAAGCAGTGGCCTCCACTATTCCTGATGTCCAGTGTGGGCCCCCCAAAATCAAGGTGGTTTCCCTTACCACCGTGGGTCCCTACTGCCCCGGCCCTCTGACCTCTGCCGCCCGGGCCGAGCTTCCGTCCTACACTTACCTGTGAGGGGCAGCGGGCTGGCAAGGTGGACAAGGGCAATATCGTTGCTGTTCTCCTCGTTGTTGGGGTCTCGAAAGGGGAGGTAGCCCCCGTGGTAGATGACAGCCTGCACCCCCAGCTGCAGGCCCTGCGGGGAGGCCTGGGCCACGGCGCCGGCGAACACTCGCCATCGGGACAGGACCCGGTTCCGCCTGCCGGGAGACAGGAGGGGGTGGCCTGCCTGGGCCCGGCTCCCCCACCACGCCGCCCCCTACCTCCCCGCCAGGCCATGGGGGGCACTCACTCGGGGAAGCAGTGGGCAGCTGTGAGCACCCAGTCTCCAGAGAGCAGGGACCCCCCACAGAGGTGAGCACCATCGTAGCGAAGGCTGACTTGCCACGGCCACCGGCCCAGATGGGTGTCCTGCCCCCCCACAATGCGGTCCACAGGCAGCTTCCGATGGCCGCAGTCTGTGGGGAGGGCGGTCAGCCTCAGCCAGGCCTCACGGGACAGACCCGGACTGGAGGGCCTCACGGGACGTGGCCCTTCCTGGGGGGTGTCCAGGGAACATGGCCCCACCCCTCGGGGAGCCTGAGGGGACAGAGCCCTATTTGGGGGCCGTGGGGACAGGGGAGAGGACAGTCATCCTTGTAGGATCTAAGAAGACAGCCCTGCCTGGGGCGTCAGACAGGGTAAGGCATAGCGGAAGGGGCACAGCCCCATCTCTGAGGGGCCCGTGAGGCCGTGGCCCTGCGCTGGAGAAGTCTCAGGCGCAGGGTCCGAGTTTCAGGGTCTCACCTTGGCAGATGGTGGCCAGGAAACGGCCCCTGGGACAGTCACTGTGAGAGACCGGGAGGGGGACAGAGCAACACAAAGCAGAGGCCGGTTAAGACAGATGAAAGGAAGAGGCAGCAGGGACCCCGGGGCCGGGGCGCACCCCAGCTGCCCACGGCCCTCCTCACCACACGGAGATGACGTCCAGCAGCCTCTGGGCGTGGGGCAGCCGGTCCTCGTCCACGCAGAAGAAGCCCGACGTGCCGTTGGCGCCTGCCGTCCGCACGTCCAGCTCGGAGTGGGCCAGCGCCCTGCGGGCGGCAGTCAGACTGCTGCTCCCGCCCGCCCGCCGGGGAGCCCGG